CTCCTCTTAGAGTAAGAGGCCAATGAACGTGTTCAAAGTTCACAGCTAACTATTGGAAAGAACATCAGGGTCAAACTCTGAGCTCAGGTAGTCTTGGTCCTGAGTGCAAACACATCTCTGTAGTTCGATGCTATCAGTTCTGCGACTCCCTTATTCTCTTGTGTACATACACATCTATCTCTTGAGAACTGTCGCTGTTTTCTTGATAAACAGTAAGAACCTTGCTCCAAGTCAGCAGGACCCAATAAGCCCTATGGAAGCAGATGTCAAGGTGGCCACCACTGTCTGTCCTCATTTAAAGTGATGGACAGCTTTGCTCCACACAATCTGCAGGGGCTAATGAACTACACATTCTTGCTGGGTAATCTCTCTACCTGCAGGTCTTTCTTCTCAATAATCTGTTATGCTATGGATCAAACCAGAGCCTCGTGCTTCTGTGGCAAGCACTTTGCTGGCTGAACCGTCTCCGCAATCTGCTTTCACTTTTTATAATACATCAGCTAGAAAGATGCCAATGACAACAGTGCCTTGCAGTGCACAGTTTTGGGATAGTGCTGATTACTGAAGCCTGAAAGTCCTCTGACTCAATACATATGGAACAGCCACACAGGCTGATGCGACTCAATACATACAGAAGAGCCACATAGGCTGATGTGACTCAAGACACATGGAACAGCCACACAGGCTGATGTTTATAACATAGAAACTTGCCCGTGTGAGCGTTCTTTTTCCTTCTAGGAACCACCCCTAGCTTTGCCATCCCTGTGATGCTTCATCTCTATGTGCACATACATCCAAAGCTGTGCCAACAATGCCCTTTGCCCGTTCCTTTGGCTTCTGCAGGAGTGGCAGGCAGCTTTTCTGCGGGATAACACAGTCTCCGTTCAACAGTTTATGATGTGCACTGCAGCTGCAGTCCTTTATTGAACTGCGGTGTTATTGGCTGTCATTCTGCTCCAGGCACTATACTGGGTGTTTTATGTCTAGCATCCCTTTTCCTGGTCACATAAAGTCATCTCAGCTAATTATAGATACGGAATTTGAGGGTTTAGGCAACACTTAACTTGTCCCAGCCTGCTTGTGTCTCATCCCACAGCCTGCTCTCGCAATGTTTTGCTACACTGCCTCCTATGGGAGGCACACAGGTCCTGTGAGTCACAGGCAGGGCACCTGTACTTAGAGCACACTGTTTTGTTTCCCCACCTCTCCTTTCCCCAGGTCCTTAAGAACGCATTCTGCTTTGTAGCTCTGGTTCCCTGAACTTACAGCATGGACTGAGCTACTCTGAGGGCCTGGCTACAGAGCTAATCCAGGGCCTTAAACTGGAATTGAGAGGAAATGCCAGGAAGTAGGAGGGCCTCTGCAGTCTACAGACAAGAGGCTGACAAGGGAGGGGGAGTCAGGAGGGACATCCTGCCTGCCTGTCTATGACTGTCCAGCAGAGAGCTAAGGGCCAGATGCCAAGTACGGGACACAGGCTTCTTGCGATGGGCAAGATGGGGAAACATTTTTCTCACGAGTCAAAGTGTGCTATCACCGCAGAGTGATGAGCTGGGATACAGTCGACTAGCTCAGGGTTTGGGATATGTGACAATGAAATCATACCTGGGGGACAGGGAGATGGCTCTGTGGGAAAGAGTGCTTACTGTGCAAGCATGAAGATCTGAGTTCAATATCCCAAGCCCTCACCTGGCTTTGCTTGGTGCATGTGCTTGTAATCCTGTTGTGGGACAGAGACAAGCAGAATCTTAGAGCTCACGAGCCAACAAAGCTAATGGGAAAGAGAACTTCCGGTTCAATGGGAAACCCGTCTCAGGGGAGGAAGGTGATGAATGACAGAGGAAGACATTTGACATTCCCTTCTGGCCTCCACTAGACTCTGTAAACTGTGTGCACGGCATGAACAACCAAACACGTATGCATGCAAACCATACCACACACACACACACACACACACACACACACACACACCACAAGGTGTTGAAGGTCTGGGATGTAGATTAACAGTCAAGCACTTGCCTATTATACAATGAACCACAAGTTCAACTTCTATTTGCCAAGAAAAAGAAGAAAAAGAATTTTTTTGGATGGGAGTAGTAGTAAATGCTAAATGTACAATATATGCTTAAATTAAAATAATTTTTAAAAGATCTTTCAAAAGCTAAAGTCACAAGAAAGTAGTGTGTAACTAATTACCTCACTGCTGATCATTAACTTTGTTTGAATACCACATTCCTCCGGGAAGTCAGCTTTCTATCCTGGCTAATTCCTGACAGATTTTGATCTTCATGCCAAGGATTTAGGGTCTGTAATTTCGGAAATAGAATCAAAGACTATGAAGTAAATATTTAGAACTCTGGATTTTAGGCTAACCCAATAGGCTAAGCTTGGATTCTGATGATAACCAGGAGAAAACTTAACTATTGAAAACATTGATCAGAAGGCCCTGATCTTCTTCAAAAGTGCTTGCGTAGGTGCCAGAGACACACTTTCTTTCTTTCTTTCTTTCTTTCTTTCTTTCTTTCTTTCTTTCTTTCTTTCTTTCTTTCTTTCTTTCTTTCTTTCTTGTGTGGAAACTTTGTGGTAGCTATCAAAGGAGTGGAATACCCGGGTGGCTGGCAGAGCCCTCAGGAGCAGGAAGGATTCTCCTCAGGAACCCTACCATTGTCATTAACAGTCAGTCAGAGCCAAGACCTGAGCCTCCATCTTCTAGGAGCATGGCCACTGTTTCTTTGAATCCTGAGGAATTGTTCTGTTGCAGACCTAAGACGCGGGTTCCCCAGTTTGGTCTTAACTCTTATGGTTCTGTAAACCCTTGCTGAGTAGAAGCCTCGTCTCAGACACAAGGTCCCACTCCAGGATGGACAAAGCGAAGGACACAGTGAGAAGTTGGAGGTTCACACCCATGCAGGTAACGGCTGCTTTTCTTTACTTGGGATGGTTAGCGCAAGGTGTGTACCTGAGGGAAACCTGTGAGCCAGGTCTGAAAGGGAACTTGCGCCTGTCATCCATCATGTCATCCATAATACTCAGCTCAGGATCCATGTGAGACCTGGGATCGTAAAGCAAACAACCGGCAAGCTCCTAGCTCTCCTAGATTCCCACCCTGTGTAGAGAGAAGCAGACAGGTTCCATACAGCCCCCATCTTTCCCGGTAATAGGCCAGGAGATGGGCTTGCCTGCATCCTACTGGCTGTCTTCACCTCTCCCACATTTTGGACCTGCCTCACTCCAGGTAAGCTAAATAATTTCTTCTGTCGCTCTTTCTCCTGGAAGGAAAGTTTGAGTGGACTTATTCCAAATCCTTACCCATTAAATTTTTGCTGAGTTCCTATGAAATCCAAGGTCGTAGGTGGAGTAGGTAGTGTTACGGCACCCACACAACGTCAGCCTGAGAGGATTGGGGTTATGCTCATTGTGAAACTGCAGAAACAAAGTCATGGCATTAACTGACTTGCCCAAGGCAAGGGCGTCCACAGTATTGGTGGAATTTGGAAGGAAGGAGACACTGAGCTCATTTTTCTAGGAGGAAGGAGGTAGTCTATGTGGTCTGTGGAGCTCGTGATGTCCTGAGTCAGGGCTGGCTAAGGTCGTTAAGGGTTGGCAGCTGAAGGAAGAGAAGCAGAGACCTGTCATTCATTCCTTCCTCTTCCTGCAGGCTGTCAGAGCCTCTCAGAGCTTAGACACTAAGACAGGTGCACCTAACATAAATGAGAACCTCCCAGGCAGATTTCCAGGAGCACATCCTGGTCCAGGAGGTCGGGAGCGGAGCCTTGGAATCTGTGCTCATAGCTGTCAGGAGAGACTGGGGGTTTGAAGCAGGAAGCTCTGACAACCATAGCCAGTTTACCATGCTAAAATATTGAAGTATCAGATGAATGTAAGAAACCAGACTTTTCCCACATGAAAGCCACAGCAAGTGGGAAGTTGATTGTTTAGTGTGGAGGGGCCTGCCTGGGAAATGGCTGGGTCATCTTACTTGGGAAAACCGTGGCCTTCCAAGAGCCATGGCATCCCTGTGATATGTCACACAGTGAAGAGCTGGCTCACCCCTGTTCTCCTTGCCCTGATCTATGCATGGAGAAGGTTATCCGTTTATCCAGTACTAATCCACGAATGGCCCTCTGAGCCCAGGTGAGGGAGACAGGATATGCCTGGTTGGCGGCAAATCTTCTCAACATTAGTTGACTCGTTCCAAAAATTTTCTGTGAAATGGATTGAGCAGATGGTAATGCCCATTGTTACTATGATAATCATGATCAAATCTAATGTTTGTGTGTGTTGTGTGTTTGCATATACATGTTCACGCATGTGGAGGTCATCAGGTGTTTTCCACTCGCTCCCTTATTTTTTGAGACCAGGTATCTCACTGATTCAACTAGACTGGCTGCTGTGCTGGCCCCAGGGCTCCTCCTGTCTGTCTCTCCTGTGTTGGGACTACAGGGCCACGGCACTATGCTCACCTTTTAGAGTGTGTTCTGAGGGCTGAAGCTCGGGTTTCCATGCTGCACAGTGAGCACCTTACCAAGCAAGGTGTCTCCCAGCCCCTAACACTAATACCGATGGAACGGCTCTTTGCCGGCCTTGTAGTGGGACTAGATCTACATGTTATCCTGTAATCCTTCCTCCACCAGTTTGGAGAAGACCTGTACCATTGGGTTCCTAGGTCATACAATTAACATGAAGAGCAGTTAGAATTCTAGCACAGGCTTTTTACTATGTGGGTAGACTCCTCGGCTTCACATAGGGTCACGTGACTTGTCCGGTAACATGAAGGCTCAGTGATATTGTTGGATCAACATCTCAGGGCTTGTTGACTCCCTACTTCTGCCTGTTTTCTGTGTGACTTCTGCTTCTGGGTTGTGCTAGGACATGCTCAGAAAGGGATGGCTTCTGTTAATTAGTGGCCCTGAATAGAAAGCAAGCTGCGGTCTCCAGGGACGCTTCACTCTTGTATAAGTCCTGGGCATGAGTGGTCAGGAGGCTGAGCCAACCAGATCATGATGCCATCCACAGCTTCCAGGATACGCTCTGCAGCCCCCCTAGAATCCAGGCTCTGTGTTGGGGCTGACCGCCATGCTGAGCACCCAGCTCTGGTTTCAATGATCTTTGCCATTGTGCTAGTGACTTGTCTGGAAGCTGCTAAACTCACGGTGGGACTCCTCGCCCCCTGGAACATCTCTCATCCATTTAGTGTGCAAAGGCTGGGGGCAGGCCTCCAGATTGCTGTGACCAAGCTCAACTCAGAGCCAGTGGGCCTGGGGAACTTGAGCTGGGCATTCAGTTACACCAACTCAGCATGCAGTGCCAAGGAGTCCCTTGCAGTTTTCACCGACCAGGTTCAGAGAGAGCACATTTCTGCTCTGTTTGGACCAGCATGCCCAGAAGCAGCAGAGGTAGAGTATGCGTATTCTAATAGTGTTTGAACTTCTCCTAGAAGGGGAAAGTGTACTGACAAAGACACAGGTTTCATTCATCTCTTCCTACTGTTTACATTTTTAATTAAAAATTTAATTGTATTTATCCATTGTACACGGTACTGCATTATATCAGGATGGTTTCAGGTGGGTGTGTTATTGTACATCTAATCTCATTAATCTCTGGGCGAAAGTCATCTTACAACAATTGCTGTCTAGGTCTTAGGTCTTAGTTTCCTGTTTGAGACTAGAAGTGTTAATGGTCTTCAAAGAGTCTTTGAAGGGGTGACTAGATCATGTGTCCTATTCCTCCTGCCTGTTTGACTGTTCTGTGTAGACTCATTACTCTCTTATGTCGTCAGCTACTTGGTCTGGAGAATTTGAGATTGACAGCAGTGCTTGTATTTAAATATAACATTATCAATTGTTAAAGAAGGCTTTCCTTTGGTGTGTATAATAAATTATTCAGGGATGCTCATAGTATGCTGGAGAGAGTACGGCTTGACAGATTGCTTTAAGCTACAGCAAATGAGGGAAACATGCTGTGAGTGGTTACTGGTATTAGCTTAGTCGACGTCCTCAGGCGTCACCATCTGCGGGAGGATGGGGAGGTGACTGAGAGGCACACCAGAGATCCCGTACCCCCACTGCTGCAGGCACGCTGCCATTGGCACTGCAAAACTCAGTTGACCTTTGAATTTGAATATCTGCCTCTCTGCATTTGACACCTCTCTGGCTACCCAAACCCCACCTTCCTTCAAAGTCAGTTCCCAGTGCCACTAAGGCAACCTCCACTCTCTGCTTGAGGTGACTTCTGCTCTCTGCTTTCCCCATACTTCCCCAATTTGAAGTAGTTTATTGTTGATCTGTACGAGTGTGTATTTCTAAGTATGTGAATTTGTCTCCTTCTATAGGAAGTAAAGAAATGACATACTTCTGGAAAATACTCTTTACTTTTCCCCAGGCATTGAATTTTACTATTATTTGAGTCATTTATAAATTTTGTTTTATGATCTTTATTGAGGTGAGATTGAAAACCCACACACATTTGATAATTTATTCCAACTTAAATGTATTGAAAGAAAAAAAATGTAATTGATTGCTTCCCTAAATGCTTATAAATATACGTCTATAAATCCTATGGTGCATATTGCTTTCTAAGACTATTTTTATATGTCTCAGCTTCCATAAGGGGTCATAAACTTTCCAAAGATAAAGGTCCCCAAAATTCTTGGCAAAATGTAGGATCTTAAGCAAAATACATGAGAAGTGAAGAATTGGCGAGTTCAGGAAGCATGTTAATGGGTCATGGCTTGAGCTCTAACCCCCCCCCCACTAGTGTTAGCTGTGTAACTCACATCCCTGCATCCTCACAGTTCCATCTTTCAGATGGACACAATGACCATCCATAGAAGTCCATAGAAATGCTCCAGGGTTTTAATGGAGTGCTCAGCCCTAAGTGGGACATCTACCTCATGCTCCTCTCCTCCAAGCTGGAATCATTAAGAAAGAGAGGCAGACAGATTATAGGAGCCAAAGACAGTGGGTGACTCCAGCCGAACAGTGCTGTCAGGACATTGCAGGGAAGCTGCACATATGAGCCCACGTTAGCCATGACCCCATGGACAAGACTAATGTAAGATCAAGCCAAGCAAAATCTAAGCATGGAGTGGGAGGTGCTCAGGATTTCCCACTCCTAGCTGAGAGAAGATTAACAATTTTTGGCCACTGAGAGAGGGAGAGTTAGTTTTCTTCAAGGATTCAGCCTCTGAGAGGTGGTGTTGCAGTAGATGGCCCCATATTCTGGGTGGACTCAGTGGGTTAAAAAGAAAAGAAAAGCTACATGAAGTTGGGAAGGAATAGCTGGGGAGACAGGGGAGGAATTGGAGCAGAAGGAATGGAGGTTGAGATTGATTAAAATGGGTTGTATGCATGCAAAACTCTCAAGCAATAAAAAAAAATTAGCTTGAAAACTATTCCAATTATTCAAGTATGCCATAGTGTGTCATTAGGGCTTTCAAGAGTGAGAGAGAGAAGAAAAGAAAAAAGAAAAAGACTGACACAAATATGAAAGTTCTTAGGGAGGGGTTAGAACATAGCATGTGCTTGAGACAGTCTTGCATTTATCATTCCTGGCCCCTGAGGTCCCTGCACTACCAAATTTATGGGAGGCATTGTCATCGACTCCAAAAGAGAAGTTGCAGAAATGACCCATAGATTCCCCAATCTGAGTTCTCGGCACACAGTGCGTATGAAGTGTGAGGGTAGCTTGTGTTCCGTCATGGAAAGGTGTTTTCTTGTTCACTTTTGAGATCATTGCTTCACTGGCCTCTGAGTGGAACATCCCCTTGTTCGACTTCATTGGACAAACAGCAGCCCTGGAGGACCACTTCTGGTGTGACACCTGCGTGACGTTAGTGCCACCCAAGCATGGAATCGGAGACGCGCTTCTGGAAAGCCTGCGATACTTGGGCTGGGAACATGTCGGGGTGTTTGCATATTCCTCTGCAGCCTTCCCCCAGGAAGAAGTGGATGAGATGTGGGGGGCCATTGAGGACAGACTCCGGTTCCATTTCACTATCACTGCCAGCATGAGATATGGCAACAGCAGCCCAGCCCTTCTGCAGGAAGGCCTCAGGAGCATGTCATCCATGGCCAGGGGTGAGTAGGCAAGAGTCTTCCTTTGCTTAGGGATTGTTTAGAAACAGCTATGAACTCTTTGTTTTTATACTTATTTTCCTATAGTATAAAAAAAGGTGGAAACAAGATACAAAGTTAGTAATACATTAAAGCAATTTCCTTATTTTATGTGGGTGTGTGTCTATGTGTGTGTATGTTATGTGAAATCTTGGGTGTTAGAGTGTTGTGCTGTTCAGAGTAAATTCTAGAATCAGATTTCTGGTAATCTGGGTCTTGGACCTTGTTGCTGAGAACATGGGTTTAGGAGACAGACACACCTGGTTTTTATTCCAATGCCCTTACTTTTTAGCTGTGTGTTTACAAGCAAGAATCTTAACCTTTATGTACCACAGAAACCTTCTCTATTAAACAGAGACAACTATCATTCCTCTTCCCCAGGAAAGTTGGGACTAACTATGTGGGAAGGGCTTAGCAACCAGGCTGGGTAGGAAGTTTGTGGTAAGCATTTTTGGTTTCTTTAAAAACCCACTTATGTTGGGAATCTGTTTTTGTTTTAATCCCAGGTGTGGGATATGGGGCTGCTTCAGATTGCCCACAGCAGCTGACTGTGATTTTTCTCATGCTCTAGGAAGGGCGTGATTTTGCCAGCTGAAGATAGTTTACATTTGGAATTCACAGTCACTGCCCACCCAGCACTCTGAGGAGCTTTCCCTCTGTGTGTGTGTGAGGCTATATGATGCTCACATGCCCATATGTGAGCATCAACAACTGACTCTGTTTTCCCTTCCTTTAGTTATCATCCTAATCTGCAGCTCAGAGGATGCAAAAAGCATCCTGAAGACAGCAGAGAACCTGGAACTCAACACGGGAGAATTTGTTTTCATCCTTTTGCAGCAGCTGGAGGTAGGGATTGGTCAGTGGCTCTGTAGTGAGAGGTGATGATAACTGCCATGTTGCAGGATGTATTTAGGAACCAGATACTCACTACAGCTCTAGGAGGTCAGCACCCTTGAAGGTTTATCTTAGAACCAGGGCTGAAAGCCTGGGGCTGGAACTCAGTCAGTAAGGTGCTTGACACGCAGATATGAGCGTGTCACCTGGGTCCTCAGAACCCACCTAGTGGCCCCCTACTTGTAATCTCTGTTGCTAACACTCCCGTGTTGCCTAGATGATGTTTCAGACTGTTTGTTCCTTAGCTTCTTTAACAGAATAAGAAGTGGAGGCCCAGAGAGGCTAAATAAAACTTATCCAAGGCTGCACAGTTACAATGAGCATTTGTGTTCTAGCCCAGGGCTGACCTCAGTCTCCATATGTATTACACTACTTTCCCTGTGTGTCCACCGTGTGTAGTTTCCAATCGGTCTGACTTTCTAAAAGGACCTTGTTTTATATAATCAGAAGGAACTGAAATGGGGCAAAGTGGATGTAAAGAGAGATAATAATGACTATATCTCTCCTCCTTTGTCAGGAAGTATTGGCTGGTCGAACTGTGTTAGATTTCTTTGGGTGGCTGGAATTCTACTTCTCTCTACTTTCCAGGGCATCCTCCTGCCTCCACTTGTTATTACCACCCCCTTTCTTCAGTTCCCCTAATCTCTGCTTGCAAGAAGATGAAGAGAAGAGAGGGTGGAGCAGCCCTCAGGATTTGCAGAGAATTCTTTTCAATCCTTCCTTTTTCCTCATAAAACTCTGATGGTTAATTCCAACTGGTTTATAGTACAGGAAGAGTATAGGATGTGAAATATACCATAAAGAGGCCACACGATATCATCATGCTTCTTGAAACAACACACAGACCCATTTGATAAAACTATTTCCAGTTAGGTTTATGTTGGAAAAAATCAAGCTGCAGAGAAACAGTACAGTGTAATGTCAGTTATGTAAAGTATATATACTTTGTATGTACACAGTGTACACACCCATATATGCACACACGTACCTCTCTGTGTGCTTATACTAGAGAATTTGGGATGCACACAATGAGTGGTGGGCACTTCTTAGAGTAGTGATCATATCGATGATAGCAATGTAATAAACATTGAAACCACAAAGCAAAATGGAGACCAGACGGTCCTGAGCGTGCTCAGCTTGGCAATCTTTGCTGCTTTATAAGCTTTACATGGCTTAGCTACTTGGTGCCTCGGTATGTTTGCTCTTCTTCATTCTCTGGCTTCCTTCCTACTGCTCTGTGCTAGCTAGAAAATATGGACCTGGTATGGCTGAACCTTCTGAAATTATTGTATTTCCAATAATAGCATAGGATAATTAAAGCTCTGTGCTGCCTTGCATGTAGTTGGGCTCTGAAGGTCGCTTGCTACAGCATGGTGACATTCACTTCGTTACCTTTTAGGACATGTTTTGGAAGAAAGCACTGACAAGTGACAAGGTCATACGCTTTCCCAAAGTCTATGAATCCGTGTTGGTCATAGCACCCAGCTCCCAAGGAGAAGGCACTGCAGATGATAGCTTCCAGAAACAAGTCTACCAAAGGCTGAGGATGCCACCCTTTCACAGCTCCATCTCCTCAGAGGAGCAGGTCTGTTGGTGGTTGCTGCACAGTCTATTGATTTTGCATTTCTCTTTCTTATTTCCTCCTCTTCTCCCCAGCCCCTCCCCCATAATATTGTCTCCCACAGCCTCAAATAAACAGCAGTGATGCTCTTTTGTGAAGTCCATACCCATGGCCACAGAGGAGTCAAGGTTATGGGCTGGAAAGCTACTGGCTTTGCTAGTTACTAATTGTGGAGTCTTGAAGTAAAATTACCTAACTTCCTCATAGCTGGGTTTCCTCAAACATGAACTGGAATCCTTATGGCATCTGCCTTCCAAGCTGTGGGCCTGAGTGTGACAATCTACTATGTTGATGTAGCAGAAGAGAGAGGTGCTCGTGGGTCCTCAGGTTCTGCTGGTTGCCTTTGTCTGGGGATGACATCACTAATAGCCAAGATGGAGCAAGCAGAGTTCAAGCAAGTGGCTGGGCTCTGTTAGGGCAGACAGTCACGACAGGGCATATTAGCCAGTGTGGTAGGGGTGCGCATAGAGAAAGAACCACATGGGGAACATTGTACAGAGAATGCTGGCAAGAGATGAGGGTACTTCCACTCTGTAGCCAAGCTAAGTCACTGGAGACAGAGGTTTGATGACTTCCGAATGAGGGTCCGACTGTGGACTCTAACTAACAGGGTGAGAAGATGGTTATTTATAGGGATCTCTTTATAAATAATAAATGTGCTGAGACCCAGAGAGGATACAGAGCGTGTCTCTGCTCTCATAGCCAGGAAACAGCAGATATTCTGGCTTCCGGATGTTTCACGTAAGCCACACCCTCTTTCCAATGAATAGTTGTGGAGGTGTTCTTGGTCTGAGCGTGTGATGCATTAGAAACCCGGGGCATACAAGGGAAGGGGAGGACACGGACAGCTGGGTTTGGTGTATCAGGCATGGGTGAGAGACAGCTCCCACCTCTTTTCGGTTAGCATCCTGTGCTCCGAGGATGGAAAATGATTTCTTCTAGCTAGGTGGGGGAAGTTGGGGGTGTGCACACTGTGTTTGCTCCTCTCGTTGAAGGTGAGCCCTTACTCTGCCTACCTCCATGATGCCCTCTTACTCTACGCTCAGACTGTGGAGGAGATGATAAAGGCTGAGAAGGACTTCTGGGATGGGCGGCAGCTGGTTAGCATTCTGAGAGCCGGTCAGATCACACTGCAGGGTAAGGTGGTCTTTGAGCTCAGGCTTCTTACCCATGTCCCTGTGGGCTTGGAGATGCTGGGCATACATTATAGACTTCCTGAACATCCTGCTTCATTCTGCTACAGAATGTTTATCATCTCAACAAGATTCCCAGTCTTCCATGGGGTATGTGAATGTCCAGCCTAGACTGCTGTGGGGTTTCCCTGACCAGGGGAAGAGGCCTCTGAGCATTTTATCCTTGTCTCCCTTAGAACATTTTCGCACGGCTTCTAATAATGTACCCATCCAGAGAGACTTGCCTTTAGTACACGTCTGAACAGTAATGTCTTGTAATGTCCGGGGAGGAAAAGGCTACCGGGCCCCGTACCCCGGGTTGTATGCCACCTCTGCTTCTTTTGGCTCTGGAAGGCAGGCCTGGGATCCTGTGCCTCTAGGCCACATGTTTTAGGACCGAGTTCCTCCTTTACTGAGACTAGATGAGTGAGGCCACCAAGATCGCAGAGCCAGGCACATAGTAGGTACTTCATAAATGACAATATTGTTTCCTGTCCTCAGTGGACCCTAATGCCAGGGCAGGGCTTCTGGTTTGGGGTGTAGAGTAGGAGTTTCCTTTTCTGAAGTCTCTCCTTGTCTTTGTACTGAGCAAGGACAGCAAACCTAAATCCCAGGGATGCTTAGGGGAGAAGCCAGCATGGCTGGGACCAAAGAGGTAGCTGTCTATCCTTCATCCCCAGCCAGCTGCTGCCCTGGGGTCATTTCAGCTTCTGATCATCACATTTTCTGATTCTGTGGGAAGCAGTTTTACATGAAATTCAAGCAAGGTGGCTTAATTTTGTTTGTTTATTTTCTCAACTCTGGGAGCCTCCCCATTTGGAGCTAAAGAGGTTCATCTACCTCCCCAGTGTGATTCCACTTCTGAAACAGCTGCTGTCCTTTGGTGTACAGGCTGACCCTCGCTCAGGTTCTGCAAAATGGCAAAGTCTTGCATCCATGCTTGATGGGGCATGGGCTTGCCAGTCAACTGGCACAGGCTGCTGTTGTTAGCCACAAGGGCCCCTTTTTTCTCATGTGATTACTCTCTTTCCAGGGATCACTGGTTCCGTGCTTTTGGACTCACAGGGAGAAAGGTGCATGGATTACTGGGTCTATGCTCTGCAGAAATCTGGAAGCAGATCCCTCTTTCTTCCTTTTCTTCATTATGACAGTTTCCAGAAAGTAATCAGGTACCACTGGCCACTTTTGTCAGATTGATAATGCTGCAGGAAGAACCTGGGGTAGCGGGACCAGAGATTTGGGATCCAGTTCTAGAATATCCCACAAAACGGTCTATTGACTCAGATTTGTCCTGTGGGCTACATGTTTCAGGAGAGTTACGAATGTAGCCCAAAACAATGTTGTAAATGCACGTGAAACATGAGGCATTTTTTGATATATGTGGACCCACAAACACACATGAGATCAGTTCTTAAGCATGGACTTTTTAGATGACAACATTATAGTATGACATCAGAGCTTTCTGGATTCATAAAGATCAACTTTGGCCATAAGGTAGTTTTGCCCGGTCATGGGTATGGCCCTTTTCAGGATCCTGGGGGAGAAAGCAGGAACACAACACCCCAACTAGACCACTGTAGGACTCTGTCCCTGTTAATGGCCCAGCTAGACTCCATCTCCAGTGGTATCCAGAAGAAGCCCTGAGCCCCTGAGGCAGAGAACCATGGAGCCACCTAAGGCCCAACTCCACATTCGGTAAAACTGCTTACCTAAAAAGTCTGATTCCCAGAGACTCATTTGGCATCAGGACCCTGCACTGCTCTGAGTTCCTAGTACTAGGAATTCTGAAAAAAGATCCTTTCTTAGCTACAAACTAATGAGGAAATGAAGAGGAAAACTTGTGTTTAATTCAATGTCTAACTGCTCCCACTTCTACTGCTGTTAACCTAGATTCCATGTATGACATTTTCCCTCCCTTATTTTTTCAAAATAAGTTCCAGCATTGTCCAGCAGAAAGAACAAAGTAAGTATAAAAACCAGGTCCTTAGTATGGTAGGAAGGGATGTCTTCAATGTAGGAAGCAACACTTGGTCTGTGAACGATCAAGATGCTTGCTGGGCATTGAGCTCTGTCTGTGCCAAACAGGTTGACATTTGTAGCATTGGCACATGATCCTCTAAGTCAAAAGAGACATGGTTTAAGTTACAGACTGTGGAAGCTATTCTATCTGGAGAAAAGAGGACATTGCCTCCCTACATTATGTAGCAAGAGGCTGGCTCTGAAGTCTGAAGAGGCTAAGGGAGCTAGAAAAACACTCATCAGGTCACCAGGGGTTTGAACTGAAGGAGTGAGGTCTGCTTGCTGTTGTTTGTTTACATTTATTCATCTCTGGGCATGCATTAATGCATGTATGTATGGCACATATATCCTATACATATGCCATGGCATGAATGTAGCTACAAGGACAATTTTGAGGAGTTGGTTCTGTTTTTCCACCATGTGAGTCTCAAGGGTCCAGCTGGGTCATTAGGCTTCACAGCAAATGCCTAAAGGGTAAAGCTACTGAGACATCTCTTTGGCACCTGGTTTGTTTGTTTGATTTTCATGTATGTCTTAGTTGCTCTTGTTGTACATGAGGTGAAGCCAAGTAGAACAAATGTACTGAGCACTGATCTTTGTCTTTTGTCTCTTCTGCTTTAAAGGCCCTGGATGAATGTCTCTAATATCTCGTGGCCCCATGGCTCCCTTCCTGAATACAAACCTGGCTGTAGATTTCACAACAAGCTCTGTAAAATGGAGCCTCCGACTGTGGCAGGCAAGCATGATGGTTTAGAAAAGGTAGCAGGGACAGTTTCTCAACACACAGTCTTTGGGGCCAGAAAACCTTTCTGTATGAGACTATCCTGTGCTTTGTGGATAATGAACAGTAGCAACTGTGTAGATAGAACCAAAAGTGTTTCCAGACACTGTCAGTATCTCCTAAGGGCACCGTTGCCTTCCTTTCCTGTCAAGAGCCATTCCTATAAGGAACCTTGGATCCTGAGATTTGAGTCTTAGACCATCCTTCTGGGAGGTGGTAGTAGTCTGGGCAGGAGGATATGGCGGAATGGTTAGGAGCCTGGCTTTTGAATTAGACAGACCATGCCTGGAGAACAACACTGTAGAGGGTGCATAGTAAATGTTCAACAAACGTGTAAGAAGTCCTTGCTAAGCTCTTACGACAGGAGCTGCTATTAACAAAAGAACGAGATGAGGAGGGTTGTCATGGTAGCTGGGTGAGGTGAGAAGCTAGCAGAGTAGGATTCCAGCAGAGCCAAGTCATGATTTTAGCATGTCACCACCTACACCACACCTGACAGCTTTTAAGACACCTGCTTGGCAGGGACATGGTTACCTCTGCTCATAGGTGGGCCCGAGCAGTGGCCATCTCTTCCTCCAGGTATGACTGTGACGGCTGTGATTCCCACAGTGACACTCCTGGTTTTAGCTTCAGTAGCTGCCATCGTGGGTCTGGTATTACAGATACTGAGAGGAAAGGCGCAAAGCCCTCATGGAGACACCTGGTGGCAGATCCCTTATGAAAGCATCGCTCTTCTCCCCCAGCACAAGGTGAGGCCACACAGTTCTCTGGTAACTTGCAGAGGGACTTCTCCCAGGAACTTAAAAGAGCCAGGGGCCAGCTCACTGGTGAAGTGAGCAGCCAGCAGAGTCTGAAAACCCGTGTTTAGTTTCTAGGCGACATTTATCAGGGCATGCTACCCTGGGTCCACAAAACTCAGTTTTAAAACCCTGAACTGTTCTTGTTTATATCAGACATGTACGCACTGTATCTTGGTTATATCTCTGCCAGCATTCCCCTTCTCAACCTCTTTCCCCCAGTATATCTCCCATTTCGCTCCCAACTTCATGCCCTCCCCCCACAACACGAAGTCCACATGCACATACATGCGTGGCCATCCATGGAGGCATGGGGGAGCTGTCAGTGGTTACCCACTCCACTCCAAAGGCGGCTCTCTTCCTCCCTCAGCAGCCAAACTTAAAGAGCTCCTGCCTGCTCCACGTTGGACTTTTTAACTGGCTTAATCTTGTATAGGTCTTGTGAAGTGAACCACGGGGTCTGTGGGTTCACATCAGAGGGCAGCCTTTCACTTATCCAGCTCTTATATCCTTTCAGCCCCTCCTCCACAATGTTCCCTGAGCCTTGGGGGGGGGGGAGGCTGACGTAGGTGTTCCATTTGTAGCTGAGACTCAGCTTTTGATGATTTAGAAATGACTGACACTCTTCTGAAGCTCCCCTCAACTTGGTGGGGGCGTTTAAATATTAATGCCCATTCCTGGGAGCATATAGTCCTATCCAAAGCAACACGATCTCTTCCATCTGCAAAGAACTGCTGCAAGTAGCTCATCTGCACAATGATCACAGCAATCTACCACCCAGTGGAGACCAAGCTAAGCTCAAGCCTTCAGGACACCCCAGAAGAAGACATCTGTGCAGACGGATGTCCCCATGGTGAGGTGAAGCCTGAAATGGAGAGTAACTTGAAGGCTTCTGACATTTAGGAAGAATGTGACAAGGTCAGGGGTCATTTAGAAAATGTCAGGATAAGGGTTGGGAAGATTGGCTGGTACCAAGTCTGGAAGGTTTCAGTGTCTTAAAACCAAGAGATTGGCTTCTATTAGCCAGTTCCTTCCAAGCCCCCCCAGGGCTTTGGATTTCCTTTTCCCTCTCCACCCACAGAGCTGTATTTTGATTTGCTTGATTTTGTACATTAGGATCCCATTAATATTCACCTTAAACAGGACTAGGCTACTATGCTCCGAAGATGCGCTCTAGTTTGTTGAAGAGATGCTGGAGATTTAAATACGGAGGTAATTCAGGCTTAGTCAGGAAAAATGACTCCATCCCCACCTCTGCTTAAGTACCACAGCTAGAACATGAATGCAGGCAGCCTGGCCTTAGAGCCTGTGGTACCCATGGTGGTGCCGAGGCCCAGAGTGAGGCAGGCAAGTGAGGAGATATTCACATTGGATTAGAAAGATCAGCGTTCCCAGTATCTAGCTTTCCCAGATACTGACTATGTGACCATCTTCCTTATCTACAAAATATCTACACCCTCCCTAAGCCGCACCTTGTTTTCCAGCCATCCCAGCGAGGCATACCTGTGTCAAGGTGCATCCTTAGTGATGCATCTCCTGGGAAGATTTCTGCAGACTGTAGCTCCTTTGTCAAGAGCCAACAGGGTGAAGAGCTGTTTTACACCCGTGTGGGCCTTTACCAGGTACTTCTGTGCATGTGAGTGCTATTGTGGATTTCTGTCCCATTCTCCAGTTGCGTTTGGTCAGGCAGGGCATTATGAATACAAGGATGTTCTCCAGGCAAAATCCCAGCTGCTTTTAAGTCTCTAGACTGGTGTTTCTCTAACTTCGAGAACTAAGACACAATAAAAAAAAAAATGTACAAATGCTACATGTTACAAAAGAATGTAAGGAATGTTTCTAACATGAAGATTCTGGGTCAGCAGGAACCCGAAATTCTGCATTTCTGATAAGCTCCCCCATGGTGTCCACACTAGTGACTCCAGTGGAATCTTCTGTGGCAATGGTGACATCCCAAAGCTACGGTCACTACCTGCAGGTGACCATTGAACACTAGTGTCTCTAGGAGAACTGAATGTTCGAGGTAATTACTTTACATTAGATAGCTAGGGAGCCGCAGGGCTCACTCAGTCAGGAAAGCTCTCGATGTGTAAGCATGGGGACTGAGTTTCCGACCCCCAGCACCCAAATAAAACAACATCAACCGGGGGGGGGGGGGCAACACCTGCCTGTAATCCCAGTGCCAGAGAGGCCGGGCCCGCATGTTAGCCAGCCAGTTTAGCTGAATTGCTGAGTTTCAGGCTCAGTAAGAGACTCTGTCTGAAAAATAATGTAGAAACCAATAGAGGGCATCTGACATTGACCTCTGGCACATATGCATGCACAGCTGTACACACACGATGTAAATAGTCCTGTGTGGCTATCGGCAACCTCAACAGGCCACACAGCCCTAGAGTGTGGATTTCTTTATCCTGGGACTTTAATGACCCTGTGGTGGTCATTGACACATGTGTAAAACAGGAGGCTATTCGTGCTCAGGCATCACTCCCCCAGCTGGCCTTGGACCATGCTCAGTCATTCTTTAAAAAGTCAGCTCCTTTTGAGGAAAAGTAAACAGGTCCTGGGAAGTGGAGGGGGAAAGTGCCACGCGATCACTGCTCCTTGCTCTAAGGCGCTGGTTCAGTTTCTGGCAGTGTCGTGCCCACTCTGCCATCCCCACCCCATCCTTCAGGCTTCAGCACAAGCATCATTCCTGCCCAGAACCTCTTCCTCTTGGGAACACAATCCTGTCTCTATTCCAAACCCCTCACAGTTGCTGCCACACTGAAAGCGGCAGCTCTGGGCTTGCTGTTTAGCTCATCTGCACCTTGCCTTCTCTTGTGCCAACTCCATCCTTTTGTCTGATCAGCTCCTACCTCGTTGTGGTATGTTTCTGTGGTTGGGTATTGAATAGCTCCAAAGGCAGGCCCACTAGGTAACAGGGGTGATTTATGGCAGAAGCTTTGTGTGCCAAGCATTGCTCTTCTGACACTATGTATTTTAACTGATCCCATCCTTCCTCAAATTTGGTTGTGGTAGTGTCCCCTGACATTTTACAGACAAAGAGAGTCTGGGAGAATTTAAATTGAACAGTCACAATGGGCTTGGACTTTGGCATCTGAGTCCAGACTTAGGAGTTAGATGTTCAGATTCTGCCATGTACTGCCATGGACACCAGCAGTGATCTATCCACAACTGGGCTAGCCACAGCTACCTTGCAGGACCGTGATAACATTTGAAGGAAACCTTACTGCTGAAATGCTAGCGTCCTGGACCTACCACAGTGTCACCAAGGGGGTTGACTTGTCAGTGAAGAGCTGATGCTATCTCCTATAGCTGGCTTTTTATTCTTAGTTTTCCCACTCCATTTCTCGCCTTTTATGTTTCTAGATCATCCTGAGTTAAGAACATTCTATCTTGGGGTTAGAGAAAAGGCTCGGTGGTTAAGAGCACTGATAGCTCTTCCAGAAGACCTGGGTCCAATTCCTAGCACACCCATGTCATCTCAGAATCACTTCTAAGTCCCATCCCAGGGGCTCTGATGCTGTCTTCTCTTCTCCTCAGGCGCTGTACACATGTGGTACACACACGCTAGCGAAACATGCTCACATTTAAGATACTAGAAAGGGCTAAAAGAGCTTTCTACTTTGTCTCTGGTTCCAGGGAAGTCACGTGGCCCTCTGCTACATTGGTGAAGCGGCAGAAGCATGGGTGACGAGGCCAACTGTTCTGCAGGAAGTCTGGCTGGTGAGGCTCTCTGCTCCTGCTCTCAGAAGTGGCCTCCATTCCAAAGGTTCAATGGTGGAAGGGCGTTTTCCCAGCTGGGTCCTTTCTTTGCTTCAGAGGCTTTGGACCACAGAATCTTGGCCTTACACAGGAGCCTGAAGTCTGGCTCCTTCCTAACTCCACCTGCCCCCTTTACCTTTCCTGGCCTTAATTCTGGCCTTTAATCCTCTGTCTGTGATAGCTGCCTGCTGCCTTTTAGACTTGGCTCTTGGGGAGGAAATGGCAGTTTGCTCTGTGTCAATGACCCCGTGTCACACCAGCATCAACAGCTATACCCAGGGAAGTGGTGCTAGATCCACCTGTGATGACGAAGTTTACTTACGACCCATGGCTTAGATGGCTTAGACTAGACTTTGCTAACACTCTGGCTACTGGGCTTTCTTCCTGGCTGTGCCATTTATCAGTGGTATCCCTTCAACAAGCCACTTCACCTTTCAGCATCTGTTCCTTTGCCTGTAAAATGGAAGTTCTTCGCTCACAGCACCTTAGGAGTTAACTGAAGTGGGCAAAGCACACAGTTGTTCATGGTGGGAAGCACTCTCCATACATAATGATATCACCACTGTATTTCCAGATGTGTGAATTAAAGCATGAAAACATCGTCCCCTTCTTTGGCGTTTGCACAGAACCACCTAACATCTGCATTCTCACACAGTATTGCAAAAAAGGAAGTCTCAAGGTAAGCAAAACTACTGAATCTCATGTTGGGCTTCATTAGGCAGCAAGTGGAAAACCTTATTCATTCCTCCCATCCGTCCATGCATGGTTCCTTTTGGCCTCACCGAAACACCTGAAATATCTTAAGCTACTTCCTGGGATCAAAGTAGAGTGAAGCTGCCGAGTATTGGTTTCCTCTGCTCTGGGTGGAAACTGTGTGAACTTGATTTCTTTTAAATGCCACCCCTCCCCTGGCAAATGACCATCAGTTTCATGTCAGGAAAAATAAGTATTTGTAGAATTCAAGCCTGTATCCTTTCTCTACACTGAGCCCGGCTGTGCTACCCTCTGTGAAGATTTCCACTTAGGCGTCACCTGTTCCACCTCACATTCGTTCCAGCCGAAAAGATGTGAGCTACGCAGTCTTCAGCTTGGTCAGTGTGGGAAGCTCACTGTGTGTCAGCTTAAGCCCAAGTGATATTTGGAATAACTGTGTTTTCTAGGACGTCTTGGGAAACTACGATCATGAGATGGATTGGATATTCAAGATCTCATTTGCATATGACATCGTCAATGTGAGTATAGCATAAACTTATTCATTGAATACCTATCATAGTGTTTTTGAGTTGTACTCTATGTTGTGTTAAATCTTTATTGGTTCTCTTTAAATCTCTTTAACAGAGGAACTCTGGGTTTAAATTTGATAACTTTAAACAAATGTTCCATGATTTAGCTAATCCTAGGTAAACATGGAGAAATACTTTACACGGAAGATGGAAAGAATGCTAGGCTTGCCAAATTAGGAAAGAACAGGGCATTTAGAATGTGTGGAACACTTATTTCAGAGAGAATTCAATTACTGGGCCACAAGTCGAGCTAGGGAGGGTACACTAGGGATACACTTTTCATCTCTCTAGCCCTCGAGTCCGTCCGCAGAAACTGGGGATAAGTACCACAAAGCTAAAAAGGTGGGCTAGAGTATAAATATGAGAGGGTGTGAAAGCAGGAATAGTCTTTATTTTGGGCACACAGGACCATGATGGCTGCATTAAGAATGATAATAATCACTGTAACAACACACATAAATTCTATATATAACATATATGGATGCTATTATGTTAAAGGCATTTACCAGTATTTTGTTTTATTGACTAACTTAATTTTTACAATAAAATATAGGGCACATCTGTTGTTACTTGTTTTGCAGATGGGATACAGAACATTCAAGTAGCTTGCCTGAAGTCTCAAGCTACTAAATAGTGCCATTAGGATTCAAATCTAGGCCTTTGAGTCTTATACTATTATATTATTTCCCATAGCACACTTTGTAGCACAAAGAACTAGAGGTTTCTGTTATGCTTCACAACAGGGAGGAGCCAGTCTCCTAAAGGTGCCCATCAGGGTCTGGCAAGGACCATTCAGAGAGGAGTAGAGAGGGATCCAGGCTTTCCATGAAGGCAGGGAGTATGCAGAGAGTGGGTGGCTAGATCCAAAAGCCCAAGATGACTCATTGTAGATGCACAGATGGTGATGAGGGATGGGGAAGGCAGGTATGTGGTTGGAAAGATGAGCTATGGAGTGTGCCACATTCAGTAAAGATGGTCAATGTGAGGCTGATCTCAAGTCAGACTAGCATGTAGCTTTCATCAGTTTGCTGTGTGGGCTTTTACCATTTAAAAGAACCAAGAAAAGCGCCTGGGAGTAGATCCAGTCAGAGAGAAAGTACGCCAGCCAGCATTGCACCACCAAAAACAACCCCATTACAGGAGCCCCTGCTGGGTGCAGGGGGTGCCACAAGCATGAGACCGAAGCCTAGGCTCTGTAGAGGCTTGGGGCAGCAACTCCCTGAGCGACCTGGCTAGTCTACCCCTCTCTGCACTTTCATGTCAGTGGACTGAAGGTACACTGGTTGGCTCCAAAACCTTCCCTTTCTCAAAGATTTTCTGCCCTCTGCTCCTAAGGAACGGACTCGGTGTGGTGAGACCCTGACTTGCCAGGCACAAGGGAAAGCAGGCATCTTGTTGCCCAGCAAGGTGGACAAACACCGTTTTCCCCATGATTATGTCTCCAGGGGCAACCCCGAAAAACCACGGTTTATTGCCATAGACCTTTAATGACCATCTGTTGACAGACATGGATAGACAAGACTGTCACATGCCAGTCATAAAACAGGCCTTTTTCTGTTGTATATTTTACCAGCACTTCCTGTATGTCGGGAGAGAGGGAGGGGAAAAAGGGGAGAGAGAGGGAGAGAGAGAGAGAGAGAGAGAGAGAGAGAGAGAGAGCCCAAACAACCAATGAACAGAATAAGGGGTTTAATATTTACTTTGGATTTGATTGGAGTTTGGGCATGGATGGCACAGGGAACAAGGCTCCTTTTCCTGTCCCGTAGGAGCCCAAAGCAATGGGATGATTTTTTTTAACTAAAAGAAACTTTGATGAAGTCTGAGGATGAGAAACAATTTGTCACAGAAATTGGCTTAGGGATTTAAACTCTGACTTTGTTGCCTACTGATTGCATGACCATCACCACCCTGAGACTCAGAAATAAAGGTGCTATCAGAATCCACCTCCAAAAGTTGATTTGAGAGCTATACTATGTAAAATGCTTAGCACTGTGGCTACCCTGTAACATGTATGTAATGCATGTTAATTTCTTAGCACTAGCACATTAGTACTAATAACTTAAGTATGTGTATTCATATCTATGCTCTCGTTGCTATCTCCCAAGAATCCTGCGGAATAGTTCTGCGCTGGGAGAAATATGGTACTATAAGGTGCACTGTGAATGTAGCTGGCCCACCTTAACTACGTCTCAGCTATGTCTGAATCCACATTGAAGGCTTAGTGAAAAAAATGGTTGTTTCTCGAAATAAAATCTTTACATGCATCAAAATAAATTCACAGTATTATTAAAATTATTTTACTAGCTTAGCTTTTCTTAAGCTGGCTGGTGAAAAAAATTAAAAATATACATGCGACTTGCATTGTGTTTTGATCAGATGGTGATTTTTATTAACTAACAATTAGTAACAGTAGTATTAGTATTTACTCCATTTTAAAGAGGGAATTAAAATGAAGCTTAGTCAGGTGAGGTTACTGGCCCAACTGGTAAGCGGCAGACTGGGGGTGTGGCTTATCTTTAAACCTGCCTTTTCTCTCGTGCTTCCTGCTAAGTACCAGAGAACACAAACTCAAGTGCCAGATGAAGGAGCCCTGGGGGACCTTCCAGAAATTTCCAGTAGAGCAAGAAGTACAAGTCACGGTCAGGAGGCAGAACAGCCCAAGTGCGCGGTGTCTGGCCTGTGACTCAGGAGCACACTCGTGGTTCTGTTTCTTCTCTGACAGTATGCATTATCATGCCACTTCATTAGGATGGAAAGTAAAAACAAGCCGCCTCCCAGAACCCCAGCCATCCCGAAGCATGTTGATTTTACCATGTAATGAGCTCCATTAAAGCCCCGCCTTCTGGTGCACTCCTAAACTGCTGTTTCCTAATTGTGAGGCAAAGAATGAGAACAGATGTGAGACTGAGACAAGACACCTGCCTGGGGCAGGGACAGCAGAGGCCAGAGAAAAACCTTGTAGGTCTTGGTGAAGTGGCACAGACAGACGTGTCTGCAAGGCTTTGGAGAACTCTGGACGGGCTCAGGTCTCACCAGATGGCACACTATTACCTTAGCCTGATGGTGTAAATTGGGGTTCAGTTTTGCTGTCTCAGCAAGTGGGCTGCTGAGATTAAAAAAAAAAACCCATCTCCAGATTGGCTGGGACTAGTGATAGAGCCACTCTTCTGGCCGTTTCCTTATTGCTGTCTGTATCCATCCATATTGCCAATGTAATACTGGCCCCACGGTTCCGGCTGGAGCAAGAGGGGTGCTTACCCTGTCGGCCACTTGAGCTGGAATCTAAGAGGCTCAAGATTTAGGGGTTCCAATCCCCCAGATCCTCCCTGCGGTACCAGCGGGGCCTCCCAAGCCAGCCTGGGCCCCTCTCCTTCCCGGCAGGCTAGGAACCTAACTGGATATAGTTTGCTCTTGTGCAAGGTAATGGAGGAATTTGGCCTCCCTCCCTTCTCTCCCCTACTTGCCCTAACCACCCAGAGTGCCAGAAACAGAAGTTTCTGAGCTGTAACCAGGCTTTGAAGGCTGTGAATCCTGGGCTGTACCCCAGCTCTGTGCCTGCCTACCTGTGAGCACTGAAATGGCTGTTTCCTTATTGTGAAGCAAAGACTGAAAAGTTAACTTGTCTTAGAAAAGAGTGAGTGTGGTGACATGTGTAAAGCTTGTGTGGCCTGAAATGCGCATGAATGTCTACTCGGTTTTATTTGTTCACAAATTAACACCACAACGCGTGGTTTCACAGAAGCCATCATCTCTCTGCCTGTCGCTGGCTTCTTTGCTCAGCAGAGGGAGCGGGTTAAGGCCGTGGTTGGACTCCAACCTCAGAGTGCCCAGCCTACCTCCATCCCTGCCACTGGACGGCCTGGCCCGTTCATGTCTCTTCCCCGTCCTCCCTTTACTCACCTGGTGATACCATCTCCCTCTGAGACCCTACAGGGCTGTCCCAGGAGTTCGTTCAAGCAAGGGGCTCTCCTTCACACCCGACAGTTATTCTTGAAAGCAGCGCTGTTGGTTGTTATTCTGGAGTTGACACCTGTTTCCTGAGGCAGGTGGAAGGAACCCACACTACCAGGCTGCCACAGGTCCACACGCTGACCCTGTGCCAGCTCCTATCAAAATCCCAAAACCGAACAATTCTGAGATGCTGACTGAAAATACCCTGAGCTTTTTCAGCAGTACCAAAAAAAGAAAAAAAAAAAAAGAAAAGAAAAAAGAACTTGGAAATGCTGAAAACATGTTATTTCAGTGACTCCACTGTGAAGCCATCAAGGGTGAAGAGAAAAGAGAACAAAGAAAGGAATTTGACAGATTGTGTTTGTCCTTCATCTCACAACTCGAAGTCTGCCTTGGGAAATTACAGACAAATTCAAAGATCCACTTTTCTAACCATGTCTCAAACACAATACTTTGTTCCCCTGAAAGTTATTCCCTCCCCCCACCTACCTTCTTGAAATAAATATTTCTTGTCTCAACTCCAGATGCTCCTTTAGGCTCCTCCCTTCCCATGGAAAGGCCCCAGTACTCTGGAAAAAGCCTCCTCCCTCACTTGGCCGGCTGGGTGTTTTTCCTGCCTGGATGGAACCTGCGCCAAACATCTTCCACATGACACACCGTCTGCCCATTCTGAGACTCCTTTGCTCCTGGGCCCTAAATATGAAAGCTCAGCTGGAGCCACATGTCCTCTGCTGCTCACGTGGCTCCTAGATCCGAGGCTCAAGCATTGTGCATTTGCTTTGTAACCAGCAACTTTCCCTCTGCCTAGTGTAGAGCTGAGATTTGAACTCAGGTTCCTGACCATGAGGATATTCTGACTTTAAGCCACCCTTGTCTTCTTGGTTTCTTACTGTGAAGTCACAAGTATTTTTGCCTAGGTTGGCTTCGTAGACACAGAGCTGGTGGCTTTTCTAAAGTGCAAGCATGGTGTGTGTGCATGGCATCCTCCGTCTGCCTCCTGTGCTCATCCTTGCTCTTGCAGGGCATGCTGTTCCTCCAAGGGAGCCCACTGAGGTCTCATGGCAACTTGAAACCTTCCAACTGCCTGGTAGATGGCTGGATGCAGGTGAAGCTGTCAGGATTTGGGTTGTGGGAGTTCAAGCATGGCAGCACGCACAGGATCTACAACCAGGAGGCCACCAACCACTCAGGTAGCCATTGCCAGATCTTGGACCCACTTGCTGTGGGTCAGAGGGTTTCTTGTCCACCTTTGCTTCATGATGGTACTTTGCATAGGAACCAATGGGCAGTTTTTCCTTTCCAGCTGATGGGATGAAGTTGTTCAGTCCACCTGGGGATCATGAGAAAATAAGTCACCACCCGGGTGGTGTCAGTCTATGGTATAAGGAAGCAGTTCTCAACCCATGGGTTGCGACCCCTTTGGCAAGCCTCTATCTTCAAAATATTTATATTACGATTGATTTGTAACAGTAGCAAAATTACAGTTATGAAGTATCATTGAGAAAATTTTATAGTTGGGGTCACCACAACACTATATTAAAGGGCTGCAGCATTAGGAAGGTTGAGAACCCTGGCTGTAAGGTCTGCGTTAGGGACTGGCTCTCATTTTTGCCTTACTTGGGCCATTAAAGCCATCATTATTGTTCTCGCTCTCTTTTTAAAATCTCTATCCCCTCTAATTTTTCCTCCATGTTCTCAGTATGATAAGATCTGCCAGGCTGTCTTAGTTAAGTTTACCACTGCTGTGATGAAACACCATGACCAAAAAGCAAGTTGGGGAAGAGAGGGTTTGTTTGGCTTACACTTCCGCATCACTGAAGGAAGTCAGAACAGGAATTCAAATGGGACAGGAACCTGGAGGCAGGAGCTGATACCAAAGCCTTGGAGAAGTGCTGGTTACTGGCTTGTTGCCCATGGCTTGCTCAGTGTACTTTCTTATAGAACCCAGGGCCACCAGCCCAGAGGTGGCCCCGCCCACAATGGGCTGGGCCCACCATCATCAACTGCTAATTAAGAAAATGCCTTACAGCAAGTCTTATGGAGGAATTTTCTCAATTGAGGTTCCCCCTTTTCAGGTGACTCTAGTCTGGGCCAAGTTCACATAAAACTAGCCAGCACACAGGCTTTTTAAAGCCAACTGTATCCAGGAGTGTGCTGTCTCCTAGGTAAGACTATAAAGTTTTCATACATGACCCCTTTTCACTCAAAAACATTTTTTTATACGACTTTAGGTGTATAGCTATATATTGTAGGCAGACAAACATTTACTGATTTAAAAAATCATATAGAAATTTATTTTAACCAGTTATTTGATTTGCATATAACTTTATAGTTTAATGACTAGAAACCATCTCTTGGACTGTAGTGCCGGGTAGACGATGATGAACACGTTTGAGAGCATGCTCCTTCCTTATTTCCTTCATGATCTTTCCTATGGATGTTGCAAGCTTTCCTAGGCAGACACTCATAGGGCCGGCCTCTCAGGATGCTTTGCCTTCACGTATCTCGGGCAGCATGAAAGGGGTTGGGTAGCTTTTCCTCATGATGGTACCTACCTTGCTGTCTTGCAGAGCTCTACTGGACAGCCCCAGAGCTGTTGCGGCTTCCGGAGCTTCCCTGGTCTGGCACCCCACAGGGAGACATTTACAGCTTTGCCATTCTCATGAGGGACTTGATCCACCAGCAGGCCCATGGGCCTTTTGATGACCTTGAGGAGGCTCCAGAGGGTAAAGCTGGAATAGCTGCTCATGGGAAAGGGACTAAAGGGACTTGTGTGGGGGAGTGGGGAGAGGAAGGGGTGGGAAAGGTTGTGTTGTGAAGGAAATAAGATGAGTTTGACAATACTCAGAATGTATTTCTCTCTCCCCTCCCCCAACTGTCAAAAGAACAACAACAAAAATGATTGTTCTTTCGACATCATCCTCCCATGATGGCTTGCAAAGCCGGAAGCTTCTGTGAATGTAGGCAGTTCCTTTTAAACCACACTCCAGTTTCTACACTGAAACTGGAATTTACAGCGTCTACATTTTAACACCTAAGATATATTCTGAAGCAGTTCCTTACAAGTGTACTTTACCCAGTTGTGTTTTACACCCCAAACTAAAGCTCTTTAAAGTGAATTTGGAACCAAGCCAACGCATGCATGTTCCAGCTGAGTCCGGTAGAAGCCACCTTCTGTCCTGGATCCCATTTGTTCTTGGCCACTGCAGTCTGAGTGTGCCACGAGAAAACTCCCTGTCAGTCAGTCAGTGTGCTTCTCCCTTAGCAACTGCAGGCTGGTCACATGGGCCTGTCTCCACGGTAGTGTAGCCAGGATAAAGACAGTGTGTACTTGGATTATAGACACGTAGGCATGAATTTGCATTTCCTGCTTCTCTACAGATAAGCCTTGTTCCCGTGTACAGCAGCCCAGTGGTTCTCAAACTCTAGTGGGTGCTAAAACACAGACTGGCTGCTAGGTTTCTGGCTCAGGAGGTCTGGAGTGAGGCACATTTGAGAAGATCTGGTCTTGGTCTCTTTGTCTTTGGGTCAGTAGCTAGAGTAGCTCCCAAAAACTGCATAAAGTGCTGTTTCAAGCCCCTCTCCAAACCTGTTCTTCCGGAAATGTGGGAACAGGTCCAAAGTATTTATTCAAACTCCTCAACCCCAGGCCAGTGTCCTGTCTATTTGCCAAAGACAAAAAAATAACTGCTTTAAAGCAGCTAATACACTGTAGAAATGATGGGATGGAAATATCAGACCCATGTTGCTAGGTGATAGGCCCATATCTCAGAGATACTGTCAGGGTTCACTATCATCTGATGGACTCTCAAGGAACTCCTTAGAGCTAAATCAGAAAATACAGGACTATCTTCCATCTCTGCTTCTGAGGTCATTGCTGTCCCTCATGTTTGAGCTTTACACTGAGATGTAAAACAAAATTGCTTAAAAGTACACTTTTAAGGAATTTTTTCAGAATGTATTCAAACATTAAAATATAACCGAAAGGCATAGCTCACATGCAATGTTGTTTTGGTTTGGAGTTTTGAGACAAAGTCTCACCATGTCACTCTGGCCTGGAACTCACTGTAGATCATGCTGGCCCCCAACTTGAAGGGATCCTCCTGCCTCAGCCTCCTCAGGGCTGGGATTTCAGAAGGGCACCACCAACCCAGTTACATATATTTGGAACCTATATTTTGTGTTCTATTAGCCTATACTTGATTTAGGTTGCCTTAGTTTCTCCTGGCTCAGAGTCCTGTCTTGGGTGCTACACTGTGTTTGGTTGCCTTCTTATGTACCTCTAGGAGAATTCCTCTGTCCCCATTTGTGAGCTGGGAATTTTTGAGGAGTACTGATCAGATCTTTTTGACATGTGTATGATCTTTGTACATACCTCTGTGTGTTTGTCTGTGTGTGTGTGCACATGCGTCTGTGGGTGCACATGTGTGAATCCCCGTGTGAAAGCCTAAGGTTGCCATCTGTGCTCTCCAACATGAGATCAGGGTCTCTTGCTGAACCCAGACCTTGCCTTTCTGGCTATCTAGACTAGCTAGCTTGCTTGGAAAAGCCCTGTCACTGCTTTGCAAGTTCTAGGCTTGTAGGCAGGCCACCATACCCATTAGACATTTACACAGATTCTGTGGATTCACAGCAAGTACCTTCCCCAGGGAGTTATTTCCCCAGCCATTGGCCAGATATTGTAGAGATCACTTCTCATTTGGAACATCTGACCTTTTCTCTTTCTCATGGTTATTCTGGGGTTATGTGTGTTGGGGCACTCGTGTTGACCTTAATTGTCACTTTTTTGATATTGCCAATTTTTAATGAGGTGACTGTGACCATGGCTGTCAAAGTTGATGCTGACTTCGGTTACCTGAATGAGATAATCCTTGTTGATAACTCCACTGTAGAGTTCTTGATTTTATCCTTCCATATTGGAAGGAAGTCACTGTGCATAGGCCATATTAAATCAAGAATTACTATAGATATCATATAAATTTCTCTCTAATAGGTTTATCTTCTTGATCCCATTTATCTCTTTCTTTAATTGTTAATATCTATCAATATAGACTCATGGAAATTTTCTTAATATTGTGGCTCAAATGATGTCCCATTTCAGCTGGTGGCATGGTTTCTGGACACACAGCTGCTAATGTATTTTGTTTCACTTTTGGGTGATTTTCTACCTTTTAGTACTGTAGATGCCATAGGTTTGTTTTGCACATGTCCACTCAGTGCCGCAATCCCCCACTCCGTGCAAGAAGCAGGCCATTCTCCAAGCAGCCCTGGCTTCTTTCTTTAGATGGTGGTACTTGGACACAAGCATGCTTTTTGCTCCTGGAGTATTGTTGCCTCTACCCCGTCTCTGGTAGATGGGAATGTAGATATGCATAGTAACCCACATATAAGACACAGGCATACATCTGCATCTGTACTGAGCTAAATGTGAGTTTGTAATGACATGGCCGGCTTGACCTCCTCACCACTGTGCTTCATTCCAGTCTCCCCTGCTTCTCTGTAACCTCCCTCTCCAAAAGTGTGAGCCTGACTGCCATCTGCTGTCTGTATACTTACTTGTTCAGTCACAATGCATGCTAAGGTGTTCTACACTTGTTAGCAGGACCTAGTGCAGCCTAGTAGCTGTGAAGGGAAGGAGTGTGACTAGCTCCCTTTGTCTTGTTTCAGGCATTTTGTGGGGCCTCACTTTTCCCCTGTGCTACTTTAACAAAGTCACATGCATACACAGCACAGTTAGACCTTTCCTTAGGGCCTGAATCCCATTTCTAGCTTGTTTCAGGTCCTGGTTGATATTTTTTAAAAAGCAATGTTTTTATTCCTTAAGCTTAACTCTACTATGAACTTTCCTCAGTGTTATCAAATATCCAGGGCCTAGGGGACTGCCGTTACACTGTCAAACAGAAGATGACATTTCCCTACTCAACCCTCTCCAAAATTCCCAGCCACATACAGACTATGATTTCGCTTTTCCAGACCTCACTACCAGACCGGGTACATGCGTGCCCTTTCACACCAGCGCTTTCTACATGGGCACACACACTCAGTGTTCATTTCTGTTGTTGCAGCACTGTGTTTTTATAGCAAAATGTGTATACCTTACTATCAAAAGGTTCCTTTTTAGAAGGTGGTAATGGGATCCTTAGAGAATGCTGCTAGAAACCTGTGAAGAAGTGAAAGGAAGCAGGTTTACAAAACTGGACAGACAGGGAGACAGTGGCATTTATTCATAAAAATCATTTTTGTGAAGAACGGGAAATTTCATAAAATCATGAAATTTCATGATGTACTTTGGAGTGTTGGGAAGCAAATGCCTCTCCATTTGTGAGACCACCTAGAGAAGCCCTATTTTAAAAAGGCTTGGTTTGGAAATGGATGGGTCAGAGGTTGGGTCTACATTTGCCCTGGACTCTTTAATTTCTAGAAGGATCTAGAACATCTATTCACATATTGAGATTGTCTGGAACTCAAATGTATTGTTTAACTTTGTTTTCAAATTGAGAATATCGTCACCATTTAGACAGGCGTGTGTTGACGGGAAAAACTATCTAGGTTGTTTATCCAATCCCCAAATGGATTTCAGAGATCATCAGCCGCATCCAAGATCCCCGGGCACCCGTTCCATTTCGCCCGTCCCTGTCAGAGGATAAAGGTGATGCACGCATCGTAGCCTTGGTGAGGGCGTGTTGGGATGAGTCTCCAGAGCAAAGGCCCACCTTTCCTTCCATCAAGAAGATGTTACGAGAAGCCAGTCCCAGAGGGTGAGTTAAAGGCGCAGTACACGCTTCCTTCTGGTCATGTAGCCACTGGGAATTGAAAAAGCCAGGGTTGTGACAGATTCTGTATGGCTCCTCTCTTTTCCCTTCCCTTCCCTCTCCTCCCATCCCCTTTCCTTCTATCCATTCCTTTCCTTCTCCCGCCTCCTCTCCTGCCTCTCTTATTTATCTTTTCATCCTCCCTCCTCCTTCCCTCTGTCACCATGTATCCACTTAAAGTCCACCGTGTGCAAAGCACTGTTCTACATGCTGGCTAAGGTGCAGTGGCAGAGTCTTCATTTATTTTGTGAACATGGATCAGACATTAGTAATGCCACTGCCCAATGGGCTCATTCAAACTTCTCTCATTAGTCAAGGGTCCCTCCCCCCCCCCAGGCTGTTTTGACACTGCTTTAGTATCTTTTTCAAATTTTTATTCTTAGAATCATAACTAATGATTTGGCATTGGACGAGAGGATAAAAAAAATCATTCACCAACTTTAGATTATCACTCATTTGTTTAAGTCTACAAAGCTGAGGATCAAGTCCAGAGCCTCATGTGTGCTGGGCAAGGGGATACTACTGAGCTAATCCCAACCTCTTGGTTGGTGACTGACTTCGGGTTAAGCCCACCTCTCAAATCCTTTTTTCAATAGCAGCTCCTTGCCTATCAGGCTGATATTATCCAGTATATATTTTTTTTAATTCTCATTAGTTACATTTTGTTAATTCTGTATCCCAGCTGTATCCCTCATTCCCTCCCCAATCCCAACCTCCCTCCCTCATCTCCTCCCTGCCCCTTTCCAAGTCCACTGAAAGGGGAGGTCCAGTATAATTTTTAAAAGTATTTATGTGTATGTGTGGCAATAGACGCTGAAGTTGGCATCAGGTTCCCTGGAACTGGAATTATAGGCAGCTATGAGCTGCCTTGTAAGCACTGGGAACAAAACTAGAGTCCTCTGCAAGAACAGAAAGTGCTATTAACCACTGAGCCTTCTCTTCAGCCCCATGATACATGACAGTATCTTTTTTTAAAAAGACACGTTCTTGTGTAGCTCTGTCTGGCTTGGAATTCCCTACGTAGATCAAGCTGGTCTTGAACTCACAGAATTTACCTGTCTTGCCTCCCCAGTGCTAGGGTTAAAGGTGTGTGCCACTACTCCTGGCCTGCTACTGTAATTTTTAATACAGTGAGTATTTAATTTCACAGAGCTTGAAGAGAAGGAGCAGAAGGAGCCCAGGCCTGAAGGTGTTACTTCTAACTTGGCCATTTAATTTGGCATTCTTAACATAGCAGCCTGTGTTCTTTTCCAGGTTACAACAGTTAATTTTAATTGCTAATTTTTAAATGATTTAATTGCTATTTGAAATATTGGAGATAATGGTATAAAATATGATGTTTCAAAATATGCATACTTTGTGGAGTGATTAAGCCAAGCCAATTAACACAATCCCTCATGGATTATAGATTGTCTTTGACTTTTTACTCAGACAATATGGTCCCAACATCAAGACAACTTATTTCCTATCTGAGTCTTAGGGCCTCATCTAAAAGGTGAGGGATTTAGGTGATTTCTCGGGGTCATCTCTGGAATGCAGTTCAATGGAATCTAGACACAATCCATGTTAGAAAACCTGAGAAAAGGCCCATTCTGTAATCTGTACTTTTTCTCTTAGTTGTGACCATGGCAAGGAGCTTGCTGGGAACTGAGGAAGATTCATCAAAGGCCACTGTTGAATGTCTGCTGGCCACAAGATCTACCACTAGGCAGGTTATACACATTAGCTCCCAAAACCCCAGAAAAACACACGCAAGGCATATTTCTCAGATGAGTAAACTTAGGCCCAGAGTAATAAAGAGTGCAGCTTCAGCTCAGGGCCATAACTCTGCTGCCATGGGCCCTCCTTCAGCTCAGGGTCTGGAACTCTGCTGCCATGGGTACTCTTTCAGCTCAGGGCCCAGTTCTGTCTGCCATGGGCACTCCTTCAGCTCAAGGTCCGGAACTCTCTGCCATGGCCGTCCTTCAGGAGCTCACCTTAGGGCAAGAAGTATATTCCTGAGATGTGTGATTGGGATTTGTGTATCCACTGTGGTCCTATGGTTCCTGGAAGAGGGTGCTAACATTTTCAGTCTTTTAAAGCCAGGTGAGCATCTTGGATAGCATGATGGACAAGCTGGAAATGTATGCCAGTCACCTGGAGGAGGTGGTGGAAGAGCGAACCTGCCAGCTGGTGGCAGAGAAAAAAAAAGTGGAGAAACTCCTGTCTGCCATGTTGCCAAGGTATTCGGGAGCAGTGGTGGGCAGGCCAAAAACAACACAAGGAAAAAGAACCCTGCTGGCTTCTTGGTTCCACACAGGAGAAACACTTCCACTGTGCCTTTTCAAGGAGAATATTAAGCTTTGTAAAAGGGAGCCAAGCAGGGGAGTAGTGAAGAGGGAAGAGAGAGAGGGAGATGGAAATGGAGAGGGAAAGAGAAAGGGAGGGAAGGAGGGAGAGACAGAGACACAGAGAGACAGAGATACACACAGAGAGACACACATAGAGAACTGTATATGTGTGCAAAAGTTGGCAAGCTGATCCACCTTGTTAAAGAAACTTCCCCTTCCTCAAGACCCAGCTATACCACTGCTAGGTATATACCCAAAGTTTGCTCAAGTACACAAAAGGGATATTTGCTCAACCATGTTTATAGCAGCTTTATTTGTAATAGCCAGAACCTGGAAACAACCCAGATGTCCATCAACGGAGGAATGGGTACAGAAATTGTGGTATTTTTACACAATGGAATACTACTCAGCAATCAAAAAGGAGGAAATCATGAAATTTGCAGGCAAGTGGTGGGATCTAGAAAAGATCATCCTGAGTGAAATATCCCAGAAGGAGAAAGACAAACACGGTATATACTCACTTATATAGACCTATAAAATATGATAAACATAAAGAAAACTGTACACCTAAAAAAGATAATCAAGAGAGCGGACATGGGGTAAGATGATCAATCCTTGTTTAGAAAGACAGATGGGATGTGCATTGAACGTATGACAGGAGTCTACTGAGCGTATCTGAAAGACTCTAACTAGCAGTGTTTTCAAAGCAAAGACTCATGACCAAACCTTTGGCAGAGTACAGGGAATCATAAGAAAGAAGGGGAGTTAGTCTAATGGGGAAAGGATAGGAGCTCCACAAGGACCAAATATATCTGGGCACAGGGTCTTTTCTGAGACTGACATTCAACCAAGGACCATGTATGGATATAACCTAGAACCTCTGCTCAGATGTAGCTTGTGGTAGCTCAGTAACCAATTGGTTTCCCATAGTGAGGGGAACAAGGACTATTTCTAACAGGAACTCAATGGCTGGCTCTTTGACTTCCCCACCCCCCAAGGGAGGAGCCGTCCTGTTAGGCCACAGAGGAGAGCTTTACAGCCAGTCCTGAAGATACCTGATAAAACAGGATCAGATGAATGGGGAGGAGGTCCCCCCTATCAGTGGACTTGGAAAGGGGCATGGTGGAGATGAGGGAGGGAGGGACTGGGAGGGAATGAGGGATCAGGACACGGCTGGGATACAGAGTTAATAAAATGTAACTGATAAGAAAAAAATAAAATTAAAAAAAAAAACAAAACAAACAACAACAACAACAAAAAAAAAAACTTCCCCAAACCACAGAAATGGAAATGTGGAAGGTAGTGAATGCAGCAGTAGGATGTAGCCACTAGAGGGCAGGCTAGCTTCATGTCTAGCCACTAATGCATCACCACTGCTTGCCTCTGAAACTTCTGCCTAGTTCAATATGTGCCTGTGGCATCAAGTTAGATACTGCTTCGACTTTTGTTCTTTTTCTACATGTGCATCCTCTGAACCCTAGATAGAAGCATTTGATATGGAAATTATTGTATTCTGCATGCCATCCAAAGAGCGGGAGCAGAGGATTTTTTTTTCTCTCTTTATTCTGAGATAGGGTCTCAAAATGTAACCCTGGCTGCCCCGGAACTTACTGTGTAAATAAGATTGTCTTTGAAGTCCCAGAGATCCACTTGGCTTTGTCTCCTGAGTGCTGGGACTAATGGCGGGTTCCATCGTATTCACCTGTCTGGAGCAGTGGGTCTCAACCTGTAGGTTGCAACCCCTTTGGCAAACCTTTGTCTCTAAAAGTACTTAAATTATGATACATAACAGTAGCAAAATTACAATTATGAAATAACAAAAAAATTATGGTTGGGCATCACCACAACTTGAGGAACTGTATTAAAGGGTTGCAGCATCAGGAAGGTTGAAAACCACTGGTCCAGAGCATAGCGGATTTGAATGCACTCATAAGAGAACAGTTGGCTGAAGTAAAAATATTGGTTGAGTGATTGCATTCACTTTCACACTGCGCACCAAGTCTTTACCATAAAACTCTAGATGCAATAGAAAGGAACAAGATGTTTTCAGTGAGAAACTATTTTAATGAAGCCATTTATGTGACCTGTCCCTGACCGCCACCCTCTGCTGCAGTTTATAGCCACCGCTTAAAATCTCTCTCTAGAGAAAATGCAAAATCCCTCTATACAGTACTTTTAATAAGTAAAAACCTAGCCCACCAAAGCCAAAGGGCCTATGGGGGTTGACTTTGCCACGAGCCGTGGAAGCAGAATCAAGCACGAGTTTGTTCAGAGCTCTCCTTTCTCTGATTTCAGCTTCGTTGGAGAACAGCTCATAGCCGGGAAGTCTGTGGAACCAGAACATTTTGAGTCTGTCACTATATTTTTCTCTGACATTGTGGGATTCACAAAGCTGTGCTCTCTCAGCTCCCCCTTGCAAGTGGTGAAACTCCTCAATGACCTGTACAGTTTGTTCGACCACACGATACAAAACCATGATGTGTACAAGGTGAGCTGTGACACACATAGACTCCTCATCCGCTGTCTCCAGGCTGAGTAAGGACAGACCTCATCTCAGTTCATGGCAGGAGCTGACACTTTACTTCTGTCTGTCTTCTTGGGAAGGGCCTTGACTAGTCACAAACATACATGCTTGTCCAAAGTCACTGTGGCGGCTGCAGATGACTCCATCACTAAAGTGATTGTCTTGCAAGCTGGATAACTTGAATTTGATCCCCAGAACCCACATAAAATAAGTGGGGCTTCCTGGTACATGATTCTGAGCACTGGAGAGCAGAGTCAGGTAGACTGCTGGGGTTCGTTGGCCAACCATCTTGATTGGTGAGTTTCAGGTGAGTGAGAGACCCTGCCTCAAAAACCAAGGTTGACAGTGTCTGAGGAATGATAATTGAGGTTTCCTCTGGCCTCCATCTAAATGGCCTCCAACACACACACACACACACACACACACACACACACACACACACACACA